AATACACACTATACTCATAGTCACCAATGCTGATGTTGTTAACATTAATCATTTGAGAATAAAGTATAACAATAATAATAATTTGAACGGTTTGATGTGATATGAGCTAACCGATCTTTAGATTTAATCACCATTGGTAGCGAGATTTATGCTTTTTTCCTCAGTTGGTCAGAACAAACGTGGCAGACTTGTTACTTACTTGTTCAGATGGCAATATATGGTGAAAATTCTTATTTGGGTCATATTCCAAGACGTAGGCTAGAATCTGTGATTGCGAAGTACAGTAAATATCCACACCGGTGCGGTGACTGACTGCCACACATACAGTGGGTACGGAAAGTATTCAGACCCCCTTAAATGTTTCCCTCTTTGTTATTGCAAAGTGAAAAATTTAAGGGGGTCTGAATACTTTCTGTACCCACTGTACTCTTCAGAACATTAGATTCATCCGCCACTAGAGCCGTGCCGACTCACAACCCACGCAAGCTAGATAATTCCGCACACAGCTGCAATTCCAGGTTTTCAAACAGAGATGGCAGCAAAGAGGCAAAACTTACGGACTGCAGCTTTAAACCATATCAAAAATGACTGGAATTTTTGTTTGGTTGACAGTTCGCTTTTATAATTATTATTACATTTAGTTTTTACTTGGGTGTCTGAAACCACCTTTCATTAGCATTGCTTTAAAAAAAAAAAACACCCAGATATTCGGGTTGATTCGTCAACAAAAGTCATCCGGATTACACAAATGCAAAATCAAAGTTAATTAAAGTTGAAATTAAGTTTTTGGTGAAAGGAAACATCATAGCCCATTTTGTATTTATTTATTCATTCATTCATTCATTCATTCTGCATAAACAACCAAGTTTTATTAAAAGCTCATCTTTCCTGTTGTGAATTTCCACTTTAAAACCATATAACAACTGTGACAGACAACTTACCCCGGTCTCTCCTTCATACATGATTTGAATGAACTCAAGATATATTTTCCAGTTAAGGTGACCACATTATAAGAGAACACAGTTCTAGATACATTCTTGTCCCTGACTTTTCAAGATGGCATAGCACCTGTTTTGAAAGCTGTTGGTTTATAACTGTGTAATGGTTACACAGCTGTTGTGTGGTTATTCACAGAACAGGATCAATAAAATATATCTTGAATATACCTCAACACAAATCTGCTGATGTGACTCCCAGGGACTGAGAATATCATATCAGCTACACTTCATTTTGATGGTACAGGTCCAAATGATTATATTGTGATCAGAACCTCTGTTGGCAATTACTTCCACTACATATTGTCCTCTGCATATCTTCCTCCATGTGTAATTTCTCATAGGGTTGAGGAGTGATCGAGAGCCCCTCCTCTCTTCTTACCTCAGCCGTCACTCATCTCCGCTCTCATGTAGAACTGGAGGACACTAGCAGATCACAGGCAGGATTGTTGTCTTTGATGTGGCCCTCAGCTCCTCAAGATATCATTGAGGCTCCCTCTTTGGCTATGAGAGAGCTTCCATTAGTCTGTCAGGGAAAGCTCAGTCTTATCCGGGGATCAGATTCTGCTGTCAGCTGCCATGTATCTGTGCAATCGAGAGTCAGACTGTCATTAACAGTGTGTTGAGGAGCCCACAAGATAGAGATGAACTGGTCACGTCCTGTCATTCAAACCCTGGTTTGTACTACGCACCACTAAACCCAAAGACTGAAGGGTTTTCACTCACTTATTTAATCTTTGCAAAAACCTTGTGTGTAATTTAGCTTGTGGCATTTGTAACACATTTAGGCTTTACTTTGTGTAGACAGAAAAAAGCCTTAATATAGTTTCTTTGTGCCTTGAATTGTTATTTAATACTATTACAGTATTTTTTAAATATTTTTATTTTTAGCTTTTTTTATTGTGTTTTCTGTACTTGTTTTTTTGTCTTTTGTGCAAATATAAATAATTTATATATATATATATATATATATAAATCGAACAACAACAGTTCTTTCTGGTCCTCCAATCTGATTGGCTGAGAGGAGTGCAATATAGTGATAACAGAACTCCAACTGTTTCACCGTTTGTATCAGGCTGCTTGCAGTATTTCTTACAGCGAGTGTCATCGGGAATGGCCAAATCCACTATAATTTTATAAATAATACTGTTTTTGTGTTACGGAACGTTTTTTTAGATGAGAATGTACTTGTTTGGACCTCAAATATGCGGTTTGTTAATAAAGATAACATCCATTCGAAAATTTGCTTCTAATTATTTAAAAGCCAATATGATAGTAATATGCAAGCTAATAAACAACTAGTTAGTAGTGGGAATTGGGCCTTAAAATAAAGTGTTAACTTACCACTAGTTCTAAAGTGACATTTTCAGATTAGTAGTGTTATATAAACGCAACATCACACGAGTAGCAGTGCGATATGGCTGGATATCGGGATGCTGTGATTACCTATGGCTGTTACCATTCTGGCAAATGTTTATATACAGCTTCCAAAAAAGAATAAGAATTTAAAAACATGCTCATCACAGAAGAGGTGTATTAGAGTTATTGTTTGTATGAATTGCGTTTATTATGTATTTTTAAATAAATGAATAGAACCAGACAAAAATATTTAGTAAAACAATTATAATTTAAAGAGACGGTGTCTAAGTAATTGTAAGAATGCTGTTTCCATGCAGCATCAATTCAGTTGGGTCCTTGTCTCAAATTTTTAGTCAATACTTTGCTTAGGATGTTCTTCATAAAATTGTTTTGACCAAAGCCACATGACTTTGTTTTGGTCCTGATTCAGACCTTTGCAATTACTGTGGAATTTTAAGAGTGGCTGCATAGCACACCAATTACGTTTTTATCACTTGCATAGAGAGTAAGAGCCTTGTTTGCTTGTCCTCTTTGATTCAGAAGGACCGTTGTTGCTGTGGACAGATGAAGGGGGACAGATGGCACGAAGGCTTGATGATCTTAGAGGTCGCAGCTGCTGTTGACTGACTTACACGGCATTGTACTCGATGCCAAACTACTTCTTTTCAAGTTTGCATAGCAAAGATACTGTAATTTCGAGTCATGTTTACTATATAATCAGGAGAAGATTCATCCCTTATTTGTTTTGGATGCTCATGTTGTTCCACATTTTTGAGCGGGTTTGTTCCTTTATGGATGACGTGCGGAGATCTTTTTGTTTAATAGGTGTTTGGATGTACTTTAAACACAGGGTTGTTTTACTCCCTGAAGTGGTGCTTACGATAGCTAAGAGCTCAGCTATTTTACTGCGGTCTATCATTAGAGTGAGTCATGAATATCAGCTCTTTACAGTTGACTTGAGAGGGAGCTTAGAGCTCACAAGTGGGTCTTCATCAAACCTTAAACTACATGCTCTTGACTGATATCACATGGCTCTAGTTATGTCATGTTCTAAAGCAAGGAATGGTGTAAAGATGTCATTTCAGTTCATAGAAAGGTTCTGACTTGTATTTTTTGTGCCCCACTTTTTAACGACTACCCTGACAGGCCCTGCCTCACTGTGGGCATGTTTAGACCAATACATTCAGGTTTAAAGAGGTAATTTGTTGTAGTTACTATTCTGCTCTATGATTACATCCTGAAGATACCAGTTCTGTTTGTGCTCCAGAACAAAAAAAAATAATGGAAAAGCAGAAAATGTGAATTTGCTTTGGCTCAGGTGAGTGCATCCCTCTTGAATGACTGGGGATGGTCAAGCGTGGAGATAAGCCTGACCTGAGGCCCTGTGTGTCAGGACTATCGCAGTGTCATCAAGTAGAATGACAGGGGAGGGTTACCTGCTCTTGCCCTCAGGGTCATGATAGCAATAGAAATCCCCAGGGTCATGGATGAGAAACGCATACACTTTTATCTCCAAAAAGTCAGAGCATTAGTAGAGTATC